GGGTCGCGGGGGGCGGGGCCGGGGTCCTGGGGCTGGCCCCAGCCTGAGGCTGTGGTGCCGCTGGAAGACAGGAGCACTGCGGGGAGGAGCGGGTGGCCTCCTGGGGCTTTTCCATCGAGCCCTAGGGGCACGCGGGGCCCCTGAGGCCCCTGGGCAGGCCGATGCGTGCTGTTCCAGATCAAGGCATGGAGGAGCCCAACCCTTGGCTCCCGCCATCCGGACGGCTGAGACAGGGCTTCCTGGGAGCTCCGGCCCAGCCCAGCAGGCAGCCCTGATTCCTGGTCCTGCACTCAGCCTGGCATGAGGCTGAAGTGGTGACCCTGGAGGTCTTCGCCGTCTTGACAAATCGACCATCTGTCTCCAGCCAGGCCAGCCCTTTCCAAAATTCCCTCCCTGACGGCAGTCCCCATGCCACCCACCCTCTTGTGGATGGCACATCGATCATTAAGCTGAGATGGGACGACTGTGGAAGCCCACCTGTGTGCCGTGTGTTCTCCTCCACCCTCATGACCCACACCGCCCCCAGCTCCTCTGGAGCTCCCTTGTCTCAGAGAGTGGTCAGCCTCAGTAGTCAGCCTTGCCTGTCAGACGGAGGCTCTCCGGCTAGGGGTGGTGCCTCCCTCTGGGCCTGGAGCCGTGGGCAGCGTGGGCAGGCAAGGCTGGGCCGCTGAGTGCCGGCTGGATCTGTTCCGTGTATCTGTCTGTGGGGGGGGGAGGGGAGGGAAGTCTTGTGAAATCACCTGGTTGCTGACTTCTGTGTGCAGAATCTTGTTCTTGGAGCAGGAAATAAAGCTTGCCCCAGGGCACTGGGTTCCAGCTGTTGGGGAAAGGGCCCCGGGGCGCCCTTCGGTCCAGACAGCATTTCTCTGATGGCCTCAGGACATGAGCTGGAGACCCTAGCACCTCAGGTCTCCGACAGCCCCTGGAGCTGATGCTCACTAAGGACTCAGGGCTTCCCTCTCCAGCATCTAATCGGGCACCTGAAACCTGGTCAGAGGTGAGGGGTGGGGGGCGTCTGCCAGAGCAGCCGGGGAGGAAGAGCTAGTGGGTGGGATGGGCCGGTGGGAGTGTTCCTGGTGCCCTCCTGAACTGCCAGCCAGGAGGCAGGGGTCCTAGCTCTGTCATCTTCTGCCTGCGGGGTCTTGGCCAAGTCTTCTCTGGTCTCCTTTCTCCATAACGTGAGGGGCTTGCCTGGTCCAGCGGTTCTCTGAAGTGAGTCACCCAGAGGGTTTGTTGAAACAGCTTCCAGGGCCTATCTCAGAGTGTCTAATTCAGCAGGTCTAGGTGGGCCTGAGGATCAGAGTTTCCAAGGAGTGCTCCGGTCCGGGGACCACACTTTGAGAACCGCTCGAGCAACCTCTAAATTCCCTTCTGGCTCTGGCCTCCCAGGATAAGACAATACCGATGTTCGCTCCCAGTTGAGATTTCCACCTGCCTCTCGTGGGGAAGGGGCCTGGCAGAGAATCCGGGGTGCTGAGTTTTCAGTCTCCCAACAAGCCAGTGAAGGGACGGGCTGGGTGAAGTGGGGACACGGAGGCCTGAAGCAGCCATTCCCTTCCCTGGCCGCCAGGAAAGCCTCAGCTTGGATGGCTGCCAGTGGCGCCTTGTCTGGGAATCAGTTGGACCCTTTGGATTCTGAAGGGAAGGCTGAAGTCCCACTACCAAGGTCACAGTGACCTCTCGGGGGGTCATTCTAAGTCTGCCCGGGTCCCCCGGGTCCCTCTTGACTGTGGAGCCGTAGTTTGGAGAATCCTGGCCTGAGTGTGGATGGTCTTGCCACCCCAGTCTTCACCTCTGCCCACAGTGCTCAACACGGAGCGGCTCCCTCACACAGCCCCGTCTTGTGTGGAGTGACCTGGTTTCTCTCCCCCGCTTCCCAGGGCCATCTCCCTGGAGCAGAGACTTGACACACACTCACCCCTCCAGTACACCCTCTCCCCTTCCTCCCTGGGGACAGGCCTGAGCCCTGCCATGAGAGGCTTGAGGCCACCAGAATCTGGAGTGTTCTTCCACTTGTGGACACCCATGGGATACCTCCGACAGCTCCATGGCGGGGGGGAGGGGAGCAGCGGGGCCCGGGCTAGTCGCCCTCCCCTGCCTGGCCTGGCTGATCTCTCAGCTGGAGCCTGGGGCACTCTGACCCACCCCCACCCGCTCCCCTGCTCCCACAGAGAGCCAGATGCTGCTGACAGCTGGAGGGCCTGGACAGCCTGGCACACGGTTCTGCCTGCACAGGGGTGGGTTTGTTTAATAACTTCATTTCCCCCTCATCACACGCTGCCGCCTCGTGCCCCTTTTTCTGCTTTCCCTGGAAAACCAGGAGCTCTTCCTAGCCGGGATTTTGCTAACAGGTTTCCTTCCGAGTCTTCGTTCTTAGGGGTAGCCCTCCCGTCCCTGCTAGTCTTGCTGGATACTTCCTGTGCCCCCTTGATCCTCACATAAGGGGTCCCTCCAGCTGCCTCGGCCTCTTGGGGAGCTACGTCAAGGACATTCCCTGCGGAGATGGACCCCGGTCACTCTTCCCGCACAAGAGAGCAGAATCTTCTGGAAGGAGCCTGTCCCCACCCCACCCTCAAGGCCCAGCTCACACTCCAGTCCTTTGGCCTCCCTACCTGCTGCCCTTCAGGGAAGTGTGAAACCTCAGATTTTGGGGTGGCCGGTGGTCGTGCTACCCCAGCCTTTCCGCCTAGCTGGGGGCTGCCCCAGGGCAGGATCCTTGCCTCCTTAGTTGCAGTGGAGTCCCCGGGACAAGCCTACCAGACCTGAGGCTCTTGGAGGATGCAGCTTGTATCTTCCCATCTGGGGCTGGGAGGTCCTTGAGACCGGGGGTTCCAGAGGGCAGAGGCTGTGTCCTCCTCATCATACTGGAGTCTCCCTGAGGGCAAGACCTGTGCTGTGGATGGAAGGGGAACAGCTTGTCCTTTTCTGAGCGTCAGGACACCTGGGCTGCCTCCGCCCTCAGCTTGGCACGAAAGCGCTGTCTGGGCCCCAGCGCTCCCATACTGGGTGGGGGGATCTTCCTCGCAGTCTGAGAAGCTGATAAGGGGAAATGCAAGGTAGGACAACTGGCAGCAATGCTGAGTCGTCCTCCCGACAAAGCTTAAGGCGAAAGCATGCGGGTGTCCAGGTCCCTCCTCCCTCCTCCCCCTTCTCCTTCCCCGGGATGAGCAAACGGGAACTGAGTCACCCCCTTTCCCATCCTTGGCAGGAACGCCGGTGACCTTGCCTGTGGCAGACACGGGTGGCGAGGCCCATTGCTCAGAGGTGGAAGGAGAGGGGAAGCTGGGGTGGGGCATTTATGGGGGTGGAGGCAGCTGAAGGGCAGGGGGGACCAGGCACCCGCATCACCAAGTGGCTCTGGGGAAGGACTGCAGGAAACGCCGTGAACCAGTTGCATTGGGACAGGAGCCAGTGTCATGGCTGGGAGTGGGAGACAGAAATGTTACTTCCGAAGACTGAGTCCTTGCTGCCAGAACCGGGGGCTGGGGTGCAGGCGCAGAAAGTCACCGCCAGCCCCACCAGGCAGAGGCAAGATGGGGTGGGGGAGGCACCTGTCAGTGATGCTAAAGTCCTGGAGAGGCAGCTGACGCTGTTGCCAAGGCACACATGCCAGAGGAGACCTGCCACTCGCCACTTGGGGGCTGGGTTCTCGTTCCATGGGGCCCCATTTCCTGTAGGCCTGCCAAACCCAAAGGCCGGCCTGATAACACTTGTAGTAAAGGGTGTCTGGTTCAAGACCTCCCAGGAGCTCATCTTAGGGCTACCAGGCTGGGTGGTCCCAAGGGACATGCTAGTGCCTCTCAACCACAGAAGCTGCCAATGAGCTGGCGACATGGGTGTTGCAGGAAGATACTGCTGGGTCCTCTGTCATTTTTGAGCCTGATGGCTTTGGACAAATGGCATCACCTTCAAGCCTCCTTTTATGAAAAACTAGGACTCTACCTACCCTGGTGCCTTGTGGGGAAAATTAAATGAGTTGCTCAACAAATGTTCCTTTTTGTATGTAGGGAAAGGTTTATGTGAACTCCAGCCTTGCTCCTGGTATGTAGGCAGAAGGTCCCCAGGCTGGATGTGGGAGACCTAGGTTCCTGTCCTGGTTCTGACCCATGATGGCAGAGACTGCCGACTGTCCTATGATACTCACGTCCCCTTCTCCGTGGTGATGGGATCCTCTGTTAGTGGGCACATGGCTATCTGAAATAAACACTGCATTTCTCTGCCTCCCTTGCACCTAGACGTAAAGTGATTAAGATCTGGCCAGTGACATTTAGGCCAAGGGGTCACATGGCAGCTTCCAAAAATCTTAAGTCAGTGGATGTACACCCTCTGCCTTCTCTTCTTTGTTCCGTCCTTAATCCTACCCGGAATATGTATGTGATTCCTGGAGCTCCAGCCGCCATCTTTGACCATGGAGATAATAGCCATATCTAGAAGTGGCCGAGCCGTGAGCTGGAAGAAGTCTTGGTCCCTGCACCTTCTGTGGAACAGAAATACTGTACCAGCCCTCAACTCCCTTCAGACTTGCATGTGAGATAAAAACTACATTTTTGTTTTCTTTGAGTCGGGATCTCACTCATGCTGGAGTGCAGTGGCACCATCGTGGCTCACGACAGCCTTGACCTCCTGGGCCTACTGAGTAGCTAGGACCACTGGCATGCACCAGCAGGCCTGGCTTTTCTTCTTCTTCTTCTTCTTTTAGTTTCTGTGGGGACAAGGTCTCACTATGTTGCCCAGGTTTTTCTTGAATCACTGGGCTCAAGAAATCCTCCTGCCTCAGCCTCCCGAAGTGTTAGGATTACAGGTGTGATCCATCGTGCCTGTCCAAAAAAATTCCATTTCTAGCTTATTTGAGCCACAATGCTTTGGCCTCTAATTCTCGCAGTTAATTCTAGGCCCACCTGGTTCAGTGGATGTGTTTTTCTCACCTGTAGAAGTGAGACGATGCTCACATATCTGACCACCCCCCAGGGAGGCTGTGTAGACTCCTGGCAAGACAGAGCTTGAGCAGGCCCTGGCCGTTCTCCTCCTTTCCAACATCTAGGCATACAGCCTTCGTTCTGGAGACAGAACAAGTGGCTGCTGCATTGCAGGAGGCTCAGGAGGGGCTCAGGAGGCCTCTCTCCCCCTGTCTGAAAAGCCTCCAGTACCCAAATCTACCCCCTACATGTCTGAGCCCCCATCAACATTCTGATGTTGGTGACACACAATCCTCGTTAAGGGCCTGACTGATCCCAGCCAGATGGGATCCTAATTTAATTAAAACCCTTTAATTACCTGCTACAACACAGCTTTGGAAGTCCAATGCAAGGGGGCCTGTGAGGGAGGGGCACCGTCGGAGGGCAGAGCGGCGGCCCGCCCTTTGAGCACTTGAGGGCCCCAGGGGTGCCAGGCATTTCTCCCACCCCGGCAGGCACAAACCGCAGGGAACAGCCGGTGTGGCCCGGGCTTCCAGCTTGGTCTACACGGCTGGGCCAAGCGGGGAATTGGAGCGAAACTAGCCCTGGGGAGCAGAGGGCCAGGCTCTTGGCCTGAAGCTGTCCATGTGGGTTCTGTGCTCACACTGAGCACGCACCACCTGGCAGAGTTGGGTCCGAGCCCTCCCACAGCTGCCTCTGCCCAAGACACTCTGGGTGGGAGCAGGCATGGCTCTGATGCCTCCAGAGTGGCTGGGCCTGAGACACAGGAGAACCTCTGAGTCCACCAAAGGAAAGTCGAGTCCTGGTCAACAGGGTCTTTTCTCAAAGTGTCATCCACCTGGGACGGGGCACAAAAGGGGGTGACTTGGGTGGGCTGCACAGGGGCCATGTGGTTTCTTTGGGACTAGTAAGGACCTTTCAGGGGGCTGGGCCTCCACTGGC